CCGCCGCCGCTGCCGTAACCCGGCTTATATGCAAATGGTTTAATGGGAACGCGCACCGGCACAGAAGCCCAATTAAACCGCATACTTTACGTTGTTACGTTCCTTGCTCTTTGTATCGCGCAATAAAGCGAGCGGACCGTAGGATTGACACGCGTCCGCGCGCGTGCACACTGCCACCCGGTAATTGCGGGCCTGTCCGAGCCGATATTATAGGAGAAGGGGTTGAGACTCGAGCTACCAGGCCGGTCAATGTGATCTGTTCCTGATTTCGTCTTTTAGAATTATTGAAGATTAGAGAAATTACTGAATAACCTGATTTGGTAGGAACTAGAATAAAAGGCAATGAGAATTTGAATGAATACAGTCTTAGGTCTTCGGGTGAATCAGAGGGAGTTAATTGAGACTGTAGGTAGTTCTAGGGTGAATCCCTTGTTTTATGATTTATTTCTCGTCTGTGATCGATAGAACTAGTTTGCTGTTAATAATTTATTGGGAAAATACAAATGTTTTTTTAGAGGAATGATTGAATAACCTGATTTGGTAGGAACTAGAATAAAAGGCAATGAGAATTTGAATAGTCTTATAATATCTTCAGAAGAGACAAAGGAAGTCAATTTGACTGTAGATAGTTCTAGTGTTACTTTGCTCGATGATTTATTTCTCGACTATGATCGATACTTTATTATTAATAATATATTGAAACAGAGAGGCAAATTTTAAAGACATTGTATTTCTATGTTTGATCTGAAGTATAATTACTGATAACAAGACTAATATTCAATTCTGAATTCAAAAGGATTGAAAAGTATTTACCCTCGGTAAATTCTCTTTAAAGTTATCACGAATCTGACATGTTATTACAGGGCAACGGGTTAAAGAAAAGAAAAAACAATTATCGATCAACGACCAAGTGTTCTCCAAGTTGCAACCAAGCGCAGCAACAGCAACGCGTTCAGGAAGCCGGGCTCTTCTTTGCCTAAAGCGCCTCGGTCGCTCCAACGTCGCGGCGAATACTAATTAACCTAACTTATAATTGCAAACCGATCGGAGAAGTTGCCGCCGCCTCTGAGTGGCACTAGGCTCCCCGCGACGCGCAAACGCGACGAAAATAATGCCGATGGGCGCTCGATATTGGTTCCTTCTCAGCTGTTCAATCGTTGATCAATTTTGAATTAATTTTTCGCTGATATTTACTGTCTGGAGTAAATTTATTAAGAATATTACTAATATTCTTCCTCTCTTCCTGACAGACTATTCACGATTTTAAACAGAATTTAACAAGCATAAATATTCCCTCGAATTTAAATTAAACATTACTCTTCTATCATTAATTACTATACTTTAGAGCAGACACGAGCATGGAATATGCCTCGAATTTTCATCTACCCAATAAATCATTAATGACAAAGGTGTATCATAGTCGAGAAATAAATCGTAACCAGGAACGTCGAACAAATCCATATGAATCGATACTCCGTAAATCTCGAGTACAGTACCGTCCGTTGCAGTGAACTTGGCACTCACGTCACAAAGGCGGAGACAGCTCCTAGAAATCCAATGGCGAGTCCGTGGACACCTTCGCCTCTCGTCTCGCCCCGGCCAATCAAGCGTACGCCTTCGAATCTGACCACTCTGTCGAAAGTGCCAAGTTCGCTGCAACAGAGCGTACACGCCGCGATTCCGCGTTGCGAGACTCGTCGCCGACGTTTTGAAAGAAAGCGTGCAGCAGGATCGCCGGGCGGACCCGGTCCGCCAAGGACACGTGTTCCCGGTCGTCGGTCGTAAAACTGGTCCAGCATATTCGTAATCCGAGCGGCAGCTAATTGCGAAGAAATAGTCGGACGATAAACGTCACGGGAGGAAAAGCGAGCGTATCCGGGAACGATCGCAACGGTGGAGGCTTTGAGGCGCCGCTGGAAATGCCGGTATTTCAATCCGGCCGTCCAATATATCAATTAGGATACGAGCGGCGGACGGCGATACGACCGGTAGTCTCTTTTTACGCGACGTCTTTACTCCGGTCGCGTCGTCGCCGCGCGAATGATTCACGCCGCGCTACCCGTAACTCGCCGCCGCTGAAAGCGGCAAGAATTATCCGCGCATTGTGCGTACCCGTGCACGCCGTGTGTTACGTGTCCTGAGTCCTGCCGCGCCGGCCATTACTCGCGCCGCCGTAAACGGCAAGAATCATTAGGGCCGCGGTGCAACGCGGAGATTTAATATTCCGATCCCTTTCCTGGTCGTTGGCTCTATGTTTATTGTAATCCGCGGATCGCGGAAGTGCCTTCGGGCGATAAATTCTTGCCGGGATGCTTCAGCAGCCGTCGACGTTACGCGAAAGTCTGATTTCCTCGGGGATTGGCTTCGAGATGACGGCGAGGAGTTCGAATGGCTGGGAAATGAGTAGAAACGGTTTTCAACCCCTTACGATTTCATTTCGTTCGTGCATTTGTTAGAATTGTTTATCGTTAATAATGTAGCGAAAGAAAACTTCCATGCTCTTTCTATATTTAGATTTAGTATACATACAAATTGCTAAGAAGAGCGATAATGTTTCATTTAAGCTTAACGCAATGACGTTGCGATTTAATTTCGTTGGTGCATTTGTTAGAATTGTTTATCGTTAATAATGTAGCGAAAGAAAACATTTCACGCTCTTTCTATGTTTAGATTTAGTATAAATACAAATTGCTAAGAGCAATAATGTTTCATTTAAGTTTAACACAAGTCGATGATATTTTGTTTGTTAAACCATATTAGAAATATTCGTCTCGTGACTGACACGATGTTTTCAGGCAAAGGGTTAAAGGAATGAAATTTAAAGAAGATGATTTTTGTGGTGAGAGTAGAGAGTTGGGAATAATTATAAAAATGTAATGATGTTGTAAATGAAAATTGGTATTGGAGATACTAGATAGTTGTGTTATAAATGGTTTCAGAGAAATTATAAAGCTGTGTTGAAGTTTTGAGAAATTTTGAAACTTTGTTTTATTTGAGAAATTGGAACTTTAATCAAACTGGAGATCAAAGTTGAAGTCACGTGAGAAACGTGCAACTTCCGAGGAGTAATTTAATTTTTCTTGGTGAGAAGTGTTCTATTTTTGGTCAATGGAGCGATCGATTCCCATTGACTAGAAGAAATGGCTAAGTTTAGACACTTTCCAGGGAGCTCGTGTTCCCGACTGAAAGTTAAATGCTCTTGACCCTGGAGGACGCGTTAAAAGTGCTCCCGCTGAATAGTCTACGTATTGAAAAGTGTCGTGTGTCATCTCGCGAAGAAAATTGTCAGATCTCAATTGGATTATTTTAAATGTTCATCAATTTAGAATTACGGAAAATCATTTTAACGACAAATTAGAGACCACAGATAATTCATAGTTAATTATTTCAGTAAAAAATTAAACAGAAACTTCTTTACAATGTATGTTCAACAAATTTTAACTTGTTCAATAAGAAAAGAAATGATTAATTTTCTCGTCGAAGAGGAATTATTCAATTTTTACAGAAACTATATACGATCAGTACATGTTTCTCAGCAAAAAGGTAGTATTACCCTTTAATCAACGTAAACCGGCGGATCTCCATTTTTATTATACTAAATTCAATGTCTCTGTTGCGTGTCCGAGGCGAAATTATAAGGCGAGGGGTTAATGAGTAATTTTTAAGCCGCGCGCGTCATGAAATTCAGAATTATACGGGCAGGATGTTTCGTGTTTGAAAATGGAAAACATTTCATGGAATTCGTCACGACCGAATGTTTCAACACGGAACGAGACATCGTTTATGTAATTACTGTGCACAGTTTCAGTGAGATTCCCACGATTCACGTGCGACCGGGAGCCGTGAATGGTGGTCTGCGAATAGTTAGTTATGAGTAGTCACGAGAACTTTGTGCCAAATTAATTCAATAATTTTCCGAGAACACCTAACCCTATCGCTGAATTACAATCCTAATCCTAAGATCATTTACATATTTGAAACGTTATTCAAAGAATATTCATTATTTGCAATATTATTATTAAATATAAGCACAATCACTTTGATACTAGGGAACAAAAATTGAAGAACGAGAAAGATAAACGTTAACTGCAGTCTAAATGAGTTCTACAACGTCGTCTCTAATTAAACTGGCAACAATCGATAATTCGATTGCCAAAAACACTTCCAATAGTTCACATAAAGCTCACAGTAAACTAAACGAAGTCAACATTCAAACCACCACGAAATTAGTACTAAACTAAATTCACCTTACTCACCGAAAGCATCCTTCCTCTCCAACGAACCAGAACGGACTACCAATTTCCCAAACTCAATACAGTATAAACATACCAAAGCCTCGACCTTCAATAAATACGCACACCATCAAACTATCGATTCAAAGTATCAATAAACCCCGATCCAACCCAAAAATTCCAACTTCAAAAAAGAAACAACACTCGAAGAGAAACAATGCATTCAAAGTATCAATCGACCTAAAAATTTCAATCCCATAAAAGAAACAACCCTAGAAAGAGCCTTGACCCAAAGGTTTTTATGTACTGAAATAAATACGTATTCATTATTTGAAATATTACCGATTCTTGATTATTGAAATAAATACGTCCATGAAACAATGCATTCAAAGTATCAATCAACCCAAAAATTCCAATCCCAAAAAAGAAACAACGCTAGAAAGAGCCTCGACCTAAAGGTTTCTACGTATTGAACTAAATACATATTTGAAATATTACTGATTGTTGATTATTGAAATAAATACGTCCATCAAACAATGCATTCAAAGTAGCAATCAACCCAGACCCAAAAATTCCAACCCCAAAAGAGAAACAACGCTCGAAGAGCCTCGACCTAAAGGTTCCTATTTATCGAACTAAATACGTATTGATTATTGAAACAATATAGTATCTATTAATACAAACACCTCCACCGAACAATGCATTCAACGTATCGATCAACCCATCTCCACCCGAACAAAAACCAATCAAACACGCGTGGACACCTACCTTCCCTCGCTTTCAGGTACACAGTGTTCGCCACAATGTTCTCCAACTCCATCAATTCCAGCTTGATCGGGTTTGCGCGGCCGAAACGGGAGGGAGAAGCCTGGCGGCGTGCGTACGGGACGGAGGGGGGGAGCAGCAAGCGCCTCGAGCGGATGTCCGTACGGCTGGTGGCGTTTTCCGGGGTTGACCACCCTGTCGGGCTCCGGCAGACCAGCTCCCATCTGCGGCCCCAAGACACCACTAGGGCCGATCGGTCCCCTTCACCGAGGACCAAGGACAATAGGAAGGACGCCGGCGCAGTGCACGATCGGTCTATCGGTGCCGGGTCGGGTCGGCTAGCCGTTCAAGATTCGAGGACGTCCGGTCGTGGCTCGCCAGGCGTCGAATCGTCTTGCACGCCGAAAAACAGGGACACGCTACTGTGTCGAAAGTTGAGCCGAAACGGGTTCGTTCAACCTTTCTATTCCGGGCCAAAAGCCTGATTCTTTCTAGCTACGCGCGATTGGTCGCTGTGTACCGCTGGCTGATTCCACCTCGGAATCTAAGATGTACGGTAGCCTTTCGCTGAGATGTATTCCACTTTTCGACCACGGTCCCCCGGGTGCTTCAGGCGATGAGCGAGATTGCGGAAGATGGTTTACTTGGGAATCCTTCTGGTTGCTGGCTTTCTTCTGGGCTCTTGCTCTGTTCACAGCGATGGAGCTCGTAGTCTTCTCTTTGTGGGGTACATGGGGTTGAGGTGTGGAGCGTTCAGCTGCCTTCCGGAGTCGGAGTCCACGTTTGCTGATTGTTTTCCTGCGATGAGATTTTTGGGTTAGTGTGTGCTTTCAGCGTGGTTATTGTTGCGCAGATATTGGAGAAAGTTTGTTGAAAGGATGTAGACGGGGAGAGATTTAAGTTTTAGATTCGTATTTTGACTGCTGAATTATTTGAATTTTGTTTCTTTTCAATATTGTGTTGTAGGGTTTTGTAATGAACTAGTGTTTAACCCTTTGCACTCGGAAGTTTTTTACTAGAAATATTTTAACATTTTCTGATGAGATGAAGACGATTTTGTGAAACTAACTCGAGAAATTATACGTACATTGAGGAACAAAGTAATTTTATTTCAATATTTTTTAAATTGACGAGTTATTCGAGGTATAATATTAAATATCAAATTTTATAGTTTTATTGCGTGAAATCAGGTGAGTGAGAGTCACCTCTCGAGTGCGAAAGGTTAATATTATTGGAAATCTAGAAAAGTGTATTTACAATGGTAGAAAGAAACGAATTTCACAGTGATTCTTTTGTTCGCGATAAAAATGTGATAACATTGAAACTGAAAGTCGGGAATTGATACGGACAGTTTAAATTGTATTTTTACGAGGGAACGTATCGTTCAATGTCGTTCCATTTTCCGATGATACATATCTTGTCACCAGATGAGATTCGAATTTATCTGTCCACCACCTTTCTACGAAGTTTTATCAAAATCACTGCGCAACATATGCCGCGGTTTCCTCATGCGAGCGCCCCTTATCTTGCATAATATCTCTCAACGTGCCGTGTCGATGGTAACAATAATAATAATCTATGCACGTTCCATTGAAAGAACAGTATCTCAACATATTTCATTGTTTCAAATTCCGCCGCTCGTCCAATTACGAATTAACACGGTAATTCGATAATTTCAAATCGCGCTAAAATCAAATTACGGATTAATTGCGATTATTCGATAATTTCGAATTTCCCTAAAATGAAATCACGAATTAATTACGGTTATTCAATAATTTCTAACTTCGCTGAAATCAAATGAACAATTCTCCATTATCACTGACATCAGATCGGAAAATCCGCCCCCGGAAATTACTTTCACAAGTTCATTTCCCTAAACTCCATGGACTTCTAATTTAAGGACCCTATGGGTTTTTCATCTTTAATCATTTTTCCATGAGCTAATTCTACCATTTGCACGTTACACGCAATAAAACTATTTTACTGTTAATAATTCGGTAAGAAAATAAGAGAATTTCATAATTACCCTGTCTGCACGATTACTCTAAAGGTTAAAGACTCGATGCAAAAGTAATATTATATTTATATGAAAAATAAATGAACATTTAACTTTGTCGAATTCAATTGAAAACTTTCATTATTTAATTCGATAGTATAAGACAAGTGATTAACGCAAAATCATTAAAAAGAAAAATGACTAATTAACCCAATTTACTATGAACTAAAAGATAACCCAGTGAAAATCTCAATAAATACTTTTATAGCTTCAGAAGGATCAAAGGAAGTCAATTTGTCTGTAGGCAGTTCTAATGTTAACTCCTATGATTTATTCATCAACTATGATCACTTGGCCATTAACAATTTATTGAAGAAAAATAAGCGTATTGTACGTTTATGTTTACTCTAAAGTCTAGTGATTAATAGCAGAAGAATAATATTCAATTCTGAACTCAAAAGGATTGAGTAATATTTATCCTCGTTAAATTTTTTTTAACAATAAAACTACCAGACGGGTCCAAATGCCTTCTTCATTGTCCAATTATTTATAAGATAATAGAATGTTCCTCTAAAAAATCATCGAATCATTTAACAATACGCAAACTGAATTATAAATGAATTAAACCTTCAACAAATGCACTTTGGGAGTTTCTACAAAAGAATTTCAGAAAGTCAATTTCCACGCTCGATAGGTTTAGCGTTAAAGTCATCGCAACAAATTTAACGCTATTTCTACCAGTGTAGAAAGACACCTTCTGAAATTTTCACTTAAAATTATTTCCCAAGTTTAGTCATATATTCTGAATTCACCTCTCGACGTTTCCAATACTGATTCTAAAACTGACTATAGGAAATGTCCAAAATCTAATTAAGGAAAAATGATGAAACTGAAAGAACAATTATAAGCTAAGATTCCAGAAAGTGTCTTTTCATTCGGTAGAAATAGTGTCAACCCTCTGTAGGCTCGTGTAACTTTGAAGTCAAACAGCAAAATACTTGGATTTTGTTGATTTAATTTTCTACCGCGAAATGACGAATGAAATTCAATAATCAATCTACGTAAACTTTTATACAAACAGGGATAAACGTTGAACGTTATTGTAACTTCAAAGTTACAAAATACATTCACAATGAAATTATTAAAACTATAGAATACACTATTAACTTGTATTTATTGGTTAATATTTATTAATTTCATATTGCCTAAATTTTCGTATAGCTACAAAAAAAAATTCAGTTCGTAGAGGTTTAACACGTTGCTCCAGAGCAAGAGGTTAAAAAAGAAAAAAACAATTACCGATCAGCAACCAAGAGCAGCAACTTGAAATTATCAAAACTACTGAATACACTGTTAACTTGTATTCGTAGGTTAATATTTATTAATTTCATACTGCCTACATTTTCGTATAGCCACAAAAAATTCAGTCCATAGAGGATCAACACGTTGTTCCAGAGCAAGAGGTTAAAAAAGAAAAAAACAATTACCGATCAGCAACCAAGTGTTCTCCAAGTTGCAACCAAGAGCAGCAACGGCAGCAGCCAGCAGCCTGGTAGAAATCTCTCTTAAATACCAGCGGAAATCGTGCGGCGGGTACACACACGGCTAACGATCGTCACGGCTGATCCCCCCGGACCCGCGTCAGCGTGGCATCGTAAAAATGTCACGTGTGGTACCGCGGATTCACGTACGGACGGGAACGGACAACAACTCGAGGAGTCGCACGTAAGCAAGACGACTGCCTGCCTTTCACCTCGCCACTTCAACGAAGCCGCGGCTGGCAGATGCCTGCGCGCATCCGCTAGATCCTTTCTGGACCGTGATTTCGATCGCCGTGAGGATCGGCTTCTCGCCCACGTTCTCTCTTCTCCCTTTCCCTCTGTCTCGCTCGCTCTAGAGTGGACGATAGATCGTTCCTCTCTTGGACGCCGAATCTTTCTCCGAACGGAACCCGCGGTGTTTCTGCAGGTACACTCTTGGTATCGAGTTCACTCTTCCATTTGCAAATGGCGCTCGGAGGATCGCTGGTCCTTGGGATCGACTTTGGTAAACCGGACTCTAACGATCTTCTTGTTCCAATTTGCTTTCGGCTGCCACTTGCAGTCGCGTGGCGGGTTTTCGAGTGTTCCTGGGTATCCTGCAAGAACAAATGGAGTGTTTCTGAGTTTTAGACACCTTCGAGGGTGGATTTCGATGTTTTCGAGGGATGAAGTTTTTGTGTTTGGAGGACTGTGTCGTGGAGGAATGATTTAATTGGTTAAATTGCTGGCGGTCGGTGTGTAGCTCCTTTTTCTATTGTTTAACACTAAGTGTCGAAGAACAGCTTATGAAAGTTCAACTTAGAACTATTTTCTCGGTTTAGTCATTTTTCCTTAATTGAATTTTGGACATTTCCTACAGTTAATGTTATAATCATTCTTGGAACAGTCGGAAATTCAATTAAACAACACGAGTAAATCAAGGATATTATTTCCAATTAAAGTTTCAAGTGTCGAAGGACACCTTCGGTGGAAATATTGAGACGAAGAGGTGTTTATTTGTAATAATACAGTAATATAGAAAACGAGCGAGGATTAATTTCATCAGATCTGGATACTTTTGCTCGAACGATTCATTAAAATGATTTACTGTGGGAAATGGAAAGTGGAAGAAATTGCTGAAGTTATGCAGATATGTAGAGAATTAATTAAATCAGCGTCAGAAACTTGAAAGTATTTAAAAAATGAAGTTAGTCGATTGAATTCTCGAGTATTTCGTGTAATATTCACACGTTCATCTTCACAATTGGAATCCTTTCAATTAACGCCAGATTCTAACGTCAGCAATATTTTAATACGATAAGCCAATGAATCTCTTCTGGTGAATAGTGAAGAATGCAGCGAAGAAATCTCATTCATTTTCTGAATAATGTATCCTGCGTTACGAGCTTGAACAACGACGCACGTAAAATTTATTTGCCTGTTTTTTTACGTCATAAATACGTGACGATGGCGGCGGACGTGTCAACTCTTTCGCTTCTGCGAGATTGGTTAAATAGTGTCGCCAACGCACGGTAGTCCGAGAATTCAATTAATCGTTCGTAATATTTTAACGAAACCGATTACAACTTTTCGTCGAAAATTTCGATTCGTGTCTTCACTTTTAATTGCACGGATAACCGTGCGAGGATAAATGAAGGTACTTATGCAATGATATAACATTTCAACGGTATCTTAACGTGCAACTATGGTGACCTTTAACAGCGAAAAGGTTGCGATGCGATATTATTCCAATTGTTGCCGCTTCAGTTATATTATTGGTAGGAAAAGAGTAAGCGGAGGTATGTTATTTGGTAAATTGATTGAAACGGATAAAATATTAATAAACGTATCTTAAATGAAAGTAGGCGTTCATGCTGCTATAGTCAATTTTTGAATCGATGAGCTCGACGGTTGTCCACCCCCACGTCAACCGCCCATATTCAATCAGCGAAGAGAGAATCAATTCAGGGAAGCCGTGGAAAAGCATTTCAAAATATTGTCAGTGTCGTTCGAACGATGCCGTATCTTTAAATGATGTTTCAGAATGTTATTATAATAAACGAGACGTTTCATTGTCGATGATGTATGACTTAAAACACTGAGAACCGGTTACGAGTGCAATCGTGTTCGCTGATGCATCAGCTTAAGCAATTATCGAAGTACGAAACCGGATCAGCTTTGATTACAATGTAATTGATTGCATTCGATACTGTTTACTTAATTTTTCCGTGCATTTCAATCGTGATTTAATCGCGAAAAACTTATCGTTCTGCAATTCAATTATGCAAATGGTTACAAACATACGTAAAACAGTCCATTGAAACTTCATTAAAATAAAACATTAGCTTGATCAAAGATTCTTCTCGCTTCGTTTCGAATGTCGTCAATGCACGCGAGTATATATTCCGAGTGAACAAAAAATCGCAGGAATTCATCGAACAGAATCATCGAGAAATCGTTCACCGTATTATAACCGAGTTTATTGCAATATTCTATAGCCTAACGAATCTCAATTTTACCAAATGAAACTCACTAATTTCCTCCGAAATGACTGACAATTCTTTCGTTCAACCCAATATTCACTGTTGAGTGTATTACCTCTAGACTGCATATTTTCATGCATTCACCAGAAACAGAAAAATGCAAAACTGCAGACTGCACACAACAGGAAAAAGTACATAAAATATTTACAGTACAGACAATACAATATTCAATAAATATGCATCGAACATTAGTTGTTAAATAATAAATACAAAAGTCATTTGGAGAATTTTATCTCCATGACAATTCCGTTTACCCAATTCCTAAAAATTCAAATTTGCCTGTCTAATTATCACTGACCACCGAATCAATAGAGGGCGGACTATCGCGTGCTCCGCGGTTTATTTGAGAAAGGTAGTACACACGTGCCCATAATTATCAAAGTGGTCTACGTCAAAGTTTTAAAAAACATGAGTTTATCAGTTCTTCCACATCACATTATTTTAACCTAAATTAAAACGAAAAATATGTGACTTTGACCACTTTCGTAATTAAGGGCACAAATGTACACCCCCTCTCAAATAAACCGTGGAGAACCAAGTGGTCTAAGTCAGAATTAAAAAGAAATGTATCAGTTATTCCACATCACATTATTTTAACTTAAATTGAAACAAAGCTTAAAACATACAAGTTTATCAATTATTCCACGTCACATTATTTTAACTCAAATTAAAACAAAAGATACATGACTTAGACCATTTTAATAATTATAAGCATAAATGTACACCCCTTCTCGAATAAACCATGGAGAATAGTCTAAATCAAAGCTTGAAATATACAAGTTTATCAATCATTCCACATCACATTATTTTAACTCAAATTAAAACAAAAAATATATGACTTAGACCACTTTAATAATAATAGGCATAAATATACACCCCTTCTCGAATAAACCATGGAGAATAGTCTAAGTCAAAGCTTGAAATATACAAGTTTATCAATTATTCCACATCACATTATTTTAACTCAAATTAAAACAAAAGATACACGACTTCGACCACTTTCATAATTATGGGCACACATGCGCCGCCGATGGTGAAATTTTAAATACCCGACGGAACAGGTGAAGAGACAAAGGCCGTAACAAAAGCGTCACGGCGCGCCATTGTCTTTCGTGGGATAGGGAGGAGAGGATATCACGATCATTCCCGACGGTCGAACGTACGTTTCCTCCCTCCTGCGAGTAGCATTTTAAAAATCGCCGCCCCTCTCCCGCCCGCCCCGTTTATCTGCCACGGTTAGAGGACAGACACGCACTTATCGCCGCCGCGTTCTGCATGCGAGAAGTGCAGCCAGCCAGCCAGCCAGCCAGCCAGCAGCCGTCGCCGCACATGTGCGTGAACGGTACGCGCGCGGCGGCAGGTGCGCTCCGCGCGGATAAAGATAACGATACGCGACCGACCGCACACCGGCCGCGTAACAACCGACGCGGTAATCTAATAACTCATTCCTTTTTTTCACCCGCAGCATGATTCCCACGACACGTGAGACGAAATCGTTGATTCGAAGGAAACCTCGAAATAATGCGATCTTGCGATTTCCTCTGCAGACGTGTGAATCCGATTGCAGACGTGCGATGGAGGTTTTCGAGTTAGAGGGTGGTATGATTTTAGACGTTGCATGTGAATGTTGGATTTTCATGTCGATATCCGGTCACCGGAGCTTCGAAATTGCTTGAAAACAATTATAAGAAAATTCATATTTAATCAAAATATTTAGTAACACCAGAAGATAGTAGTATGAGTACTGTAATAATGTAACATTATTAATTATTCTTAATACTATTTTCCTCTATTATAAAGAAATTAACCCTTCGCAGGAATTAACCCAACCCTGACTCTCAGTCACCACTTGATTTGATGCAGTAACACTAGAAAATTTGATATTTAATATTGAATTATGTATAATGCATCAGTGTGTGAAATATTGGAGTAAAAAAGCTTTCTCAATTTACTTGTGCTTTCTTTTTGAGATCATTTAAAAGAACATCGTTTTTATCTAGTTAGAAAATGTGAAATATTTCTAGTAAAATACTTCCGAGTATTATTATTTTAATTAAATAATATTATAGTATTGTAATAATAATTATTATTATTTCTAATATTATTTTCCTCTATAATAAAATAATAAATCTTATTCTGATATGAGGTTTCGGGATGTAGTTGTCTGTTATAAAATAGAAGATTGATTTTTTCAAGTAATCGTGCCCTTTGTGAAGAACTGTGTTTCTTTGTTTAACACGTTGACAGCCACAAGAATTTCTAGCGTTTTGCATAGTAATACCTATTCTTTAATAACAAAGGCAAATGATATTGAAAATAATTATTAATGATTTAGTATTAGAGTAGTCATATTACTCTATGATCTAGCTACTTGTGTTACTAAATACTTTTATTTAAAATTAAGTTTTCCATCGGTGAGCACCGTGGCAGTCACCGTTAATCAGAGATTTTTAATTAGAAATTCATCTCGTTCAACCTGTACATTTCCTTTGGAATTATAATTCGGATCTCGGTTTTCTGTTGTTCGTTGCTTCTGCGTTTGGAACTGTTAGTGTACAATCTCACGTCCCTCTTCCTTATGATTTATTATATTTGTTAGTAGATTCAATGTCTGCAATGAGAATGCCACCAGCGTTATTACATTATCATCTTAAAGCGTGCGACGTTCCATTTGCAGTGCAATCGAGGAAACAAGAAAGTTCAATTACCTACGTTTCTGAGTCCTTATCTACAAGCGAGCAAGGAGTCAAACAACGTTATCACAAGGAAATGTACTAAAAATCGTGAACCGCGTCCCACGAAACAACCGAAACACAAAACTCGCTCGATCATTATGCTCGAAAGAGAATCCCCAACCACGAATAAATAAAATCATACACAACAACACCGTCATGGCCGCGTCGAACGGCGAAGTTCAAGGAAGAGAAAACCATCCGCGTCATCAAACTCCCCGCAATCGTTCCGCGAACAAACTCGCCAAGCGCTAATCCCCAACACTTTTTCCCAGCGAGTACACCCCGTAGACTCAAGGACCGTGTCAACAATTTCCACGACACCGTGTACATTTCCCGTCC